AGAGCAACGGGGGATGGGGGTCTCTATTAATAACCTGCCAAGTCAGAGGAGGCCTGGCAGGCAGCCATGCCCGCTCTTCCCAAGCGGTACCAGCTTGGCAGTCACCCTGTACTCAGATTCCAGCTGTGACTGCCCGTCTCTCAACCGGGACTCTGGCCATTGAAGAGTGTCTGCAGACTGGAGCGGTTGCAGGAATTGGGTATGTCTAGTTTAACGAAGAGAAGGACGAGGGGGGACATGATAGCAGTCTTCCAGTATCTCAGGCGCTGCCACAAAGAAGAGGGAGTCAAGCTATTTTCCAAGGCGCCTGAAGGCAGGACAAGAAACAACGGATGGAAACTCATCAAGGAGAGAAGCAACCTAGAACTAAGGAGAAACTTCCTGACATTGAGAACAATTAACCAGTGGAACAGCCTGCCTCCAGAAGCGGTGAATGCTCCAACACTGGAAGTTTTTAAGAAGAGACTGGACAGCCATTTGTCTGGAATGGTATAAAGCAGGGGGTTGGACTAGAAGACCTCCAAGGTCCCTTCTGACTCTGCTATTATTCTGCTATTCTGAGCAGAGGCGAGAATGGGGCACAGTTGACTTAACAACCATCTCGCTCACAAGAGAAATTTTGGGCTTTACTGCCGTCGTAAGTCGAGGACTACCTGTAGAACCTGACTTTTCTCTCCACTGAATTTCACTTTGTCGAGCGGGGCCCCGTGTTCGAGTCCTGCCGAGATCCTTCTGGATCTTGAGCTTGCCTTCCGGAGCGTGGGCTAGGGCCGATGCAGAGCAGAGACTGTCTTCCTACCCAGCCAGCCTCTCCCTGGAGAACAATAAAGCCAGGCCGTCTCCGGGCAGATGTTGGGGTCCCTTCCAGCTGTTCAAACACCAGCCAGGCATCCTGCTGCAGCCGGTCCAGGACCTCATAAAAACCGACTCCGGGCTGCAGAGGTCTTGTGAAGGGCACAATCACTTCACATATGCCGAATGAAGTTTGGCTGCCCCTCCAGCTGGCTTCGGAAAGGGATTTCGGAGGGAGGGGGGCACCGATTTGGCTTCCCTTGCAAACACATTGTTTCTGGGGGGGGGCTCCCACGCCAAAAATCCCACTACTTCCGTGCTTTTTCCAAACAGGCAGTGACAGATGCGAGCTGCGAGTATTGCATAAGAAAAAGACGGGAGTCCGATCGGAGAAGAGAGAAATTTAGTTTTAGACAGGCCTATTTTTAATCGGGAAATCGAGCAGGAAACGAGCGAGGAACGACCGCTTTTGCCTTACGATTAAGTCCTCGAATTATGACAAAAACAGAATAAGTCAGTTTAGCGAGGCGGGCCTGATTTTAGGACCTGTTTCGACCACAGGTCCTGAAGCAAATCCCTGCCGCTGTTAAATGAATCACGCGGGTCGTTAAACGAATCCGGCTTCCCCCACTGACTTTGCTCGTCAGAAGCTAGCTGGGAAGCTTGCAAATGGGGATCATGTGACCCCCCCCCAGGATGCTGCAACCGTCCTAAGTACATGCCAGTTGCCGAGCATCTGAAATTTGATCGCAGGACTATGGGGATGCTGCGATTGTCGTCTGTTTTCTAAGTCACTAAGTCACTGTTTTCACTGACATTGCAACTACAGTCGCTAGATGGGTGGTTGTAAGTTGAGGACTATCTGTATGCAATAAGGGCTAAATATAGGGAGTCCTCGATTTCTGGCCCCAAATTTCCGTTGCTAAGTGAAACATTGGTAAGTGAGTTTTTCCCCATTTTACAACCGTTCTCGCCACCCTTGCTTTAAGCGAATCGCCGCAGCTGTTAAATGAGTCCCACGGTTGATAAGTGAATCCTGCTTGCCCGTTGACTTGGTGGGTCAGAAAGTCGCAAAAGGGGAATCGTCGGATCCCGGGACACCGCAACCGTCCTAAGTACCTGCCAGTTGCCAAGGGTCTGAATTCGGATCCCCTTGAGTAACAAACACACAAAAGGAACCAAGAGGCAGTCAAGTTTCTGGAAGGAGCAAAGACTTTATGACAACGGTCCCCGAGTTTTCTGGCTTTGTGGACCAGCGATGGGGGGGAGGGGATAGTTCTGCGCGAGCGACAAGCGAGGACACGTACACAACTTCATGCGTGCCCGCCGCTTGCCCCAAAGGAGCTTCACATGCACGTGCACTTATTAAATAAATTGTTGCAAGTTGAGAAGTATCTGTACTGTGCACGTGCAGAAAAAGGGGAGATTCAGCCCAGTGGCCACCTTCCCCCTTCTTCCGTGGTGGACAGTCTTGTCCAAAATCTGGCTCCGGGCCCACATTTCGGTCTTCAAGTGCTCAATATAGCTGATGAGGTGGTGTCTCCGAGCGCCTGGCCACAGGCACACCTCATGAGCTGGACCGGCATGTGCAGCGTCCGAGAAAAACGCCACGTGCTCAGGAGGTGGAGCTGAACCCCAGGCCGGCCAGCAGCGTCTTCTCCTCTTCCACCCAAGGGGGATCGGCCGGAGACAGCGAAAAGGCTGGCCGTTCCCTCTGATCGGCCTGGAGTGAACCCACCTCGTTGTTCCTCCAGCCTCCGCGGGGCAGGACGTGACTTTTAATTCGTGGCTGGCTCACGTGGACCTGCGTACGAAGATGGTTAGGGGGCTGGCAGCTAAAATGTAGAACGGTCGCAGGAATTGGGTAGGTCTAGTCTAATGAAAAGAAGGGCCAGGGGTGACAACGATAGCAGTCTCTCGTTTTTAAGGGGCTGCCACAGAAAAAAAAGGGGGTCCACCTCTTCTCCAAATCACCAGAAGGCAGGACAAGGAGCAACGGATGGAAACTGATCAAGGAGAGAAGCTGGAATTAAGGAGAAACTTCTTAACGGGGAGGACAATTAGCCAGTGGAACCGCTTCCGGCTAGAAGTTGTGGGTGCTCCATCACTGGAGGTTTTTAAGAAGAGGCCATTTGTCTGAAATGGGAGAGGGTTTCCTGCTTCAGCAGGGGGCTGGACTAGAAGACCTCCACGGTCCCTTCCAACTTTGTGATTCTGTTATACAGGACCTGTCTGATTCATCCAGATGAGAGCATCAGAGCTGTCCTGTTCAGTTAGATGAAAGGTCTTCAAACTTGGCCCATTTATGACTTGTGGACTTCAACTCCCAGAATTCCTCAGCCAGGCACGCGTGCCTGCCTGAGGAATTCTGGGAGTTGAAGTCCACAAGTCATGAACGGGCCAAGTTTGAAGAGCCCTGGGTTAGACTCTGGCCCAGTCCAGCCCAACAGGTGGTTGCTTTAATTCATTCAGGATAGAGACCTTGGGAGGTCTTCTGGGACAGCAATGTCAGGATTTCAAAACACCACCGTTAAGTCGCTTTCCGGGGGTCCGTCGGAACTTCAAACAGCTGCTGAGCAACCGGCCATAAGTTGGGGACTACCTGTATTGTAGATGAGCAGCCCTATGAATCAAATGAATTCACGTATCAATGAACGAATCCATAAAAAAACAAAAACGAACCCGCCAGCTTTTAACCCATTCCTAATATCGCTCTTAGGAAAAAAAGAATCACACTCTGGATATTTATAAAGCTCTTTTTTACCGAGTTACAACAGAGAAGACGGGGAGGAGAACATTCTGCAGAGTCTTTGGGGCTAGTTTCTTGTGCTGGTTTGCAACGGGCCCCTTTTCGGGAGGGGGAAGAAGACCCAGGTGAGGCGGGGAACGACTGTGAACGGACAAGAGAAGGCTACACATAAAAGAAGGTGACTGCACACCACATGCAGGGTGAGGATGGGAGACCCTGAACTAGAACGACACAGCCAGTGATGTTGTGTCCAACATTGCTACCATCTATGTGGAAATCAGGGGTCCTCGCCAGGGACGGTGGTCACGGCGGTACGCTCGAAATTGTACGATTGCAGCAAATTGTCTGCGGAGGTTCGATCACGCCGTCGTGATCACCTTTCCTGTTTCCTGCGGACAACCTTGGTTGGAAATAAGCAATGGCGGACTCCTTGAACCACGGGGAGGAGGGCGAGTCGATGCACCCAATTGTGCTGGGCTTGAAGAGTCAAGGATCACTCACAAAAACACATCCCGCCGTTTTCTCTCTCCTGTATATTTGTGGTCTGGCCGTCGCTGCTGCGTCGGACACAATATTGAAGGGCTTCTGAGGAGCCCGTCGATATTGTGCCCAATGCAGCAGCAGCACGGCCAGACTACAAAAATGGAGGAGAGGAAACGGCGGGTGGACAAAATGCATAGATTGTGCCTATCCTGAGCAGGGCAGAAACGAGCAGCATCTTGGAGAAAAAAATTAGAACCGTCGACCGCGGCTCCTCTGGAGCGTCACAGTGTTAAAAGAGGCCCTAATATTGCTGGAACAAGGGGAGCCATCCACCCAACATCCTGTCTGGGCTTCATGCTTGCGAACGCGGTGTTTAAGTTGCGGGAGTCGGACGTGTCCCAATGGACAGATCTGGGGATCGGCTAGTGCTGTGATAATTGAGAGGCTGCACAGGGGGAGGGTTGGAGAACAGGGGTAACCAAGGCTCTCGAGTTTTATTCGGGCTTAGCCAACACACTGACTCGTTCCCCCCCCAAGACATTCCCGATGTTCCCCCTCCCCAGTTTGGAAAGACAGTAGCTTCAGATTCCTGAAAACAGTGCCCTGATGTGGTCAGCCAGAAGCGTTCTTGTCCCGTCATTCCAAGCCAAGTGATCGGAGCAGATACAACTGTGGAAGCCTAGTTGTGAGATTGTCCTGTTGCTCTTTTTTGGGGGGGGGATGTGATGCACGGCACGGTGCAGGTTGTGGAGGGGGGGATTCAAAGAAAGTACGGGAGGATGGGCAGCCGAGGGCCTGTACTGGCTGAAGAGATGAGCTGGTGCTTCCGAGAGGTCCCGGGGGCCGGATCCAGAAGCTCCTTTGAGAAGTTGGGTTGGGAGTGGTGGTGCTTGTTGCTTGGTTGTTGCTGAGTTGGGACGGGGGACAGGGCACGTGGCAAGTGTGGTCCTCTCCACCAGGAGGCTGGGAGGGGTTCTCAAGTCAGCGATCCACTGCTGCTGGATTTCTTCAGGCAGGAGTACAACATTAAGCCTCCTGCACAGACGGCAAACAGGCCGAAAGGCTTCATCCCTCCGGCGGGGACCTGCAGGACAGGAGACAACGGGTCGGAATCAGTGGGGCCACCCTGAACCCCGCCTTCCCGTGCCCCTCTGGGTCTGGCACAAGCCACAAGGACGTCATCCGCTCAGTTCCACCCACCCCTCCGAAGAGGCACCCCTTTCCATCCGAGGCGAGCTCGTCCAAGTCAATCTTTAGCTTACGGGATCTATCTTGGGTTTGTGAAGGTCCACTTGGGGTCAAAGAGAGACAATTCTCGTGGTTCTTCAATGCTCACTTTAAGCTTTCTTAATTTCAATGGCAAGAGTTTCAGACGGGAAGCTCGTCCTCGCATTAAGTACAGGTGACAACCACAACGGGGTCCCCAATTTCTGTTGCTAAGCAAGACTGTTATTAAGCGGGTTATGCCCCGTTTTACGACCTTCCTTGCCACAGGTTGCTAAGTGAATCACTGTGGTTTTTAAATGAGTCACATGGTTGTTAAGTGACCCTGGCTTCCCCACCAACTTTGCTTGTCAGGAGATCGCAAAAGGGGATCACGTGATCCCGGGACACTGCGACCATCCTAAATATGTACCAGTTGGCAAGCATCCAAATGTAAATCACATGACCCTGGGGACACCACAGCGGTCTTAAGTGTGAAAAACAGTCATAAGTCATTTTTTCGGTGCCATCGTAACTTCAAACGGTCACTAAGCAAACTGCAGTAAGTCGAGGAATGCCTGTACGATACAGTTTTGTGGTGGTTGTTTTTGTCCTGCGTTCTATAACTACTCTGTGATTTTGCTAGCTGCCCATTTCAGTTTTAAGCATGTATGAAACGTTTAATTAAGGAACATTCATTAATGCAACCCAAACCATTTCGGTTTAAAATTTTCACAGCCCGGCTCCATCAGGATGGGACCATTTCCCCAGACGTGTGACCGACTCAGTATTTCAACCTTTTTTGCAACCTCTGCATTTGCTTAACAGTTGCATTCGCTTTGCAACCTCCTCGGCTTAAAAACCTCCAGCGATGGGACACCCACAATTTCCGAAGGCAAAGCTGTTCCACTGATTGTCAGGATGTTTCTCCTGAATTCCAGGTTGCTTCTCTCCTTGATTAGTTTCCATCCGTTGCTTCTTGTCCTGCCTTCAGGCACTTTGGAGAATAGCTTGACTCCCTCTTCTTTGGGGCCGCCCCTGAGATACTGGAAGGCTGCTATCCTGTCCCCCCTGGTCCTTCTCTTCATTAAACTAGACATACCCAATTCCAGCAACCGTTCCTTGTGTATTTTAGCCTCCAGTCCCCTGATCACCTTTGTTGCTCTTCTCTGCAGTCTTTCTAGAGTCTCAGCATCTTTTTTACGTCATGGTGACCAAAACTGGATGCAAGTATTCCAAGTGTGGCCTTACCAAGGCCTTGTAAAGCGGTATTAACACTTCACGTGATCTTGATTCTATCTCTCTGTTAATGCAGCCCAGCACTGTGTTGGCTTTTTTGGCAGCTGCAGCACACGGCTGGCTCATATTTAGGTGATTGTCCACTAGGACTCACAGTTACTACTACTGAGCAAGGTAACCCCTATACTATACCTGTGCATTTGGTTTGTCTTGCCTAAATGTAGAACCTGACTTTTTCCACTGCTGAATTTCATTTTGTTGGATAGGGCCCAGTGTTCAAGTCTGCTGAGATCCTTCTGGATCTTGAGTCTGTCTTTTAAAATGTTGGCTATTCTTCCCCAGCTGGGTGTCTGGAGACTCTCAGGGACCTGCCTTCATATCCTCGGAATCCCCCCCCCTCTTCTGCAAACTAGCGGGGGCAACTCCTTGCTCTGCCTCAGTTTCTCTCCCTGGCCTGGGAATTAGCTCCTCTCCTCCTCCTCCGATGACTCTGGACCTTCCTCCTCCTCCTCCTCCTCCTCCTCCTCCTCCTCCTCCTCCTCCAATTCCAAGCCCAAACTAGGAAATTTGCCTGCATCGGTCACAGTTTCCCCCCCCCACCCGCATAGCTGCAAGCACAAACTTAAACAAACACTCCGGGGTTGTCAGTTTTCCCCAAAGGAGTGCCAAGAATCCAGAAGTGGTAAAAGGATGAAATAATGGGATTTTTTCCAGCACAGAATGCCAAAATCAGGGATGGCCGGTTTGAAAAACCATTTTTATATTTAAGGGGGTTTCTCCCCCACCCCCAGTGCATTAGGCATAGGTCAGGGGTAGGCAACCTTGGCCCCCTCATGACTGGTGGACTTCAACTCCCAGAATTCCTGAGCCAGCCATGCTGATGGGAAAGGGAGAGGTTTCCAAACTGAGCCATGCTAGCTCAGGAATTCTGGGAGTTGAAGTCCACGAGTCATGAAGGGGCCATAGTTCCCCCATGCTGGCACAAGAATTCTGGGAGTTGAAGTCCACAAGTCATGAAGGGGCCATAGTTCCCCCATGCTGGCTCAGGAATTCTGGGAATTGAAGTCTGCAATTCATGAGGGGGCCATAGTTCCCCCATGCTGGCTCAGGAATTCTGGGAGTTGAAGTCCACGAGTCATAAAAGAGCCAAGGTTGCCTACCCCTGGCATAGACCAACAACATTAAAGTGGATTAAGTGGCCCTCGCTTAATGACGGCAATCGGGATCCGAATTTCTGTTGCCAAGCAACACGGCCATCCCGCGAATGCACTGTTGACGATGGTGGTTCCGCCCTTCCACCTTGTGGTTGTGGAGCGAATCCCGTGTCGTCTTTAAGTGAAGACATCAGGGTGGCCGTCGTTTGGGATCCGCTGCCAGCCTCCCCATTAAACCTTGCTTGTGGATGCGGAATAGAGAGTCACAAAGCGTGACTCTGGGGACCCTGCAACGTCATAAGTACGAGGACTGACTGCATGTCATTCAGCACCTTCATTTTTTTTTATTTTACAGGTAGTCCTCGACTTACGATCACAAATTCCTGTCGCTAAGTGAGACAGTGGTTAAGTGAGCCCTGCCCCACTTTACCACCTTGGTTCCGACTAGCAAAGTCAATGCAGGAGGCCAGATTCGCTTAGTGACCGTGTGATTCAGTTAGCAACTGAAGTGATTCGTTTAATAACTGTGGCCAAAAAAGGTTGTAAAATTGGGTGTGACTCATTTAACTGCCTTGCTTAGCAACGGAAATTCTGACATTTGTGGTTGTAAATCGAGGACCATCTGTACTGCTGTGAGCGGTCTCATAATTAACCCACGGGGGTGTGGCTGCAGTATTATTATTTAATCCCCTTTATTATTGTTTACTTCTCCCTTTTACTGGCTGAAAGTTTAGTATTATTTTCATATTCTGTTACTTTGCAAGTACAGACAGTCCTCAACTTATGACGGTTCACTTAGTGACTATTCAAGCTTACAACGCTACTTTAGAAAGTGACTTACGGCCATTTTTCACACTTACGACCGTTGCCGCCTCCTGGTGGTCACGTGATCCAAATTCAGACATTTGGCAACTGATTCATAGTTTATTTATTTATTTATTTATTTAATTTGATTTATATCCCGCCCTTCTCCCAACGGGACTCAGGGCGGCTCACAGCATATTAAAAAACATAAACACATTTACAACCCCACCCAAGTAAAACCATAGTTATGATGGTTGCGGCGTCCCGGTGTCACGTGATCCCCTTTAGCGGCCGTCTGACAAACAAAGTCAATGGGGGGGGAAGACGGATTCATTTAACAACCTCGTTCCTAATTTGACAACTGGAGTGATTCGCTTAACAACGCTGGCAAGCAAGGTCGTAAAATGGGGCAAAATTCACTTAACAGCTGTCTCATTTAGCAACAGAAATTTGGGCTTCAATTGCGGTCGTATGTCAGGGACTCCTTGTATATGAGTGCTTCTATACCGGAGACTAATTCTTTGTGTGTCTAACCCAGGGGTAGGCAACCTTGGCTCTTTTATGACTGGTGGACTTCAACTCCCAGAATTCCTGAGCCAGCCGTGCTGAGGGGAAAGGGAGAGGTTTCCAAGCTGAGTTCCCCCATGCTGGCTCAGGAATTCTGGGAGTTGAAGTCCACCAGTCACAAAAGAGCCAAGTTTGAAGACCCCTGCTCTAACCACATAGGGGGCCAAATAGATAAAGTGTAATAGCAAGAGCGCTTAGCCTTATATACCGCTTCACAGTGCTTGACAGCCCTCTCTAAGCAATTTTACAGAGTCAGCCTAATTGCCCCCAACCATCTGGGTCCTCATTTTACCGACCTTGAAAGGACGGAAGGCTGAGTCAACCTTGAGCCGGTCAGGATCAAACTCCTGGCAGTAGGCAGAATTAGCCTGCAATACTGCATTCAAACCACTGCACCACCAGGGTCCTCCCTCCCTTCCTTCCTCCCTTCCTTCCTTCCTCCCTTCCTTCCTTCCTTCCTTCCTTCCTTCCTTCCTTCCTTCCTTCGCACTTTGCAACAGCCCTTAGACTTTTATACCTCTTATATACCGCCCTCTCTAAGCGGTTTACAGAGTCAGCCTCTTGCCCCCAACGATCTGGGTCCTCATTTTGACCGACCTCGGAAGGACGGAAGGCTGAGTGAAACATTGAACCGTCAGGATCAAACTTCCGGGCGGTGGGCAGAGTCGGCCTGCAATATTGCATTCTAACCACTGCGCCACCCAGTGGCTCCTTAGGGTACCGTCACAAAATGGCAGGCTGGGACTCTCGCAGATCAATTTCCCAGAGGGTGAGTCAGTTCCTGGGGGGGGGGGAAGAGGTCTCCACTACCCCCACACTAGGGAGAACTTCTCGGACTTCCAAATCCCGCTACTCCAGAGACCCGCCCGGATGCTCCTCAGTGCCTCACTCAACCAGCAATAAATTCCTTCTCCAAACGAGCTCAGTCCCAACTCAGCCAGAGGGGTCATGCAGGTGGAAGAGGAAAAGAGGAAGGGGCAGGAAAGGAAGGGGAGCGTGTGTGGCGGGGTGGGTGGGTGGGATGTCTCCACAAAGAGGGACAGGCAGGAAAACGGCGCATGCCGGGAAGGGACGCAGCGGCCCAGACACACAGCACAGCCGGGCGGAGAATGCCGAATCGAATACCTGGTTGGCTTTTAGGACGAGGTCTCAGCCCACCAGCACCAGAGCAGGGCCACTATGACAATCAGTCCTATGAGAGGGAGGGAGATGGTGGGAGAGCCGAGGGGGGGAGAGACCTGGTGGGGAGGGAGGGGGAGAGCACGAAATGCCATTCAGACATGAAGCCACCGAGAAGGCGGATGAGAGACAGAGAGGAAGAGGAGGAGAAGGAGGAGGAGGAGAGAAAAAGAGAAAGATTAGAGCTGGCCTGGATCAAAGGATCCAGGACTTGAACCCCGGGCCACGTTTGGTGGGCTTCAAACCTGCTTAAATGCCGCAGGGCTCGGCAGAGAATTTAACCCGGTTTGCAAAAGGTCTCTCGGGAAAGTCGGCTAGGACTTGGGACGAGCGGACGAGTCCTTTCCAATCGGCCGCGGAGATGCCTCCAGAAGAGTTCCAGTGGCAGGTGAGGTTCTGGTAGCCCCGGGGAGAACTTAAGATATGGGCACTGATCCAGAACTCAATTTAAGACATTCCTCTTGATTTTGGAGGGCTGCCCCATGGAAGGGGCGTGTGGAGCTACTCTCCAGATCACCCAAGAGAAGAACAACAACAAAAAAGGAAGCTTGATAAGAAGAGATCCATCTACCAACAGTTGGGTCCTCTCATGCCTTTGGATGTTCTGGAGAAGACCTCCCCAACCCGTTCCTTGGTACAATTTTTCTAGGACTGGGAAGATGCTTAACCTTCTGTTCCTTTAAGCTAAACAAACCCAGTTCCTTCAACTGCTCTTTGCGGGATATCACCTCCAAGACCTTCACCATCTCAGTTGCTCTTTCCCGTTCCTCAGCCTCCTTCTTGGATTGTGGTTCTCAGAACTTTAGACACAACATGCACAAAATGGGCAACCAAACAGAGACTCCATATCTATTGACCGTCTTAAGCCTTGACCACCCAAGACGGAGAACTTCCTGGTGGCCGAAGGTGCTTTAAAAAAAAGAAGAAAAGATAACTGGACTTTCTTGGAAATATTTTCTTTCGAAACCGTTTTGCTTCTCCTCCAAGAAGCTTCTCCAGTTCTTGGGTGAGAATTCTGAGGTTCTGAAGAAACTTCTTGGAGGAGAAGCAAAACGGTTTTGAAGGAAAAAAAACCCAAGGAATTCCAGTTGACTTTTGGAAAAAGAAAAAAAAAAGAGCATCTTTGGGACAACCATGATCGGGAGGATTGAAAACCTCCGTAGACACTTCCTGGTGGCCAGTGTGTGGTCCCATCTGGAGAGCAGTACAACCCCAAACAGACACAACGGCTAAGTTATTTTACTAAAAGGTCCGTGTTCTCACTCCCACCAACACTGGTTGACTTTCAGCCAACTGCAAGAACCAGGGTTTGATTGGGGCCCTCCTTGAAGACTAACATCAAGTACTTGATGTCCATCATCTGGGCTTCCCGTTCAAGATCTCAAACCACAAAGCCAACTGCAAGAACCAGGGTTTGATTGGGGCCTTCCTTGAAGACTAACATCAAGTACTTGAGGTCCATCATCTGGGCTTCCCGTTCAAGATCTCAAACCACAAAGCCAACTGCAAGAACCAGGGTTTGATTGGTGCCCTCCTTGAAGACTAACATCAAGTACTTGATGTCTATATCTGGACTTCCCATTCAAGATCTCAAATCACAAAGCCAACTGCAAGAACCAGGGTTGGCTTGGGGCCCTCCTTGGACTAACATCAAGTACTTGAGATCTACCATCTGGGCTTCCCATTCAAGATCTCAAACCAGAAAGCCAACTGCAAGACTTTCAGGTTCTCTTTCGTCTCCATGTCCCAGGAGATCAGGAGATCAAATTAAACCATGGTGGATTCCACCAAGAAACCATAGGAATGTAATTCTGCCAGTAAAGCAGAATATTTGTAGCCCAGATTTGAAAAGAAGTGTCCTTGGTGCTCTGAGCTCAGTGGCTTCCTTGCAGATGTTTCATTATGTCATTCAGTGGACTAGCACTGATGACGTTGTCTAGTTTGGGTCATGAAAGGTCTACAAGAAAACCACCAAGCTCAGAGAGCACCAAGGACCCCACAGTCCTCCTCCTCCTCTTCCTCCTCCTCCTCCTCCTCTTCCTCCTCCTCCTCCTCCTTCCTTCTCTCCACAAACCCCCTTCCGTTCTAGCACTGATGACATTGTCTAGTTTGGGTCATGAAAGATCTATAAGAAAACCACCAAGCTCAGAGAGCACCAAGGACTTCCTCTTCCTCCTCTTCCTCCTCCTCCCTCCTCTCCCACAAACCCCCTTGCATTCCAGCACTGATGATGTTGCCTAGTTTGGGTCATGCAACACCTTGAAGTAAACAACCGAAGCTCAGACAGCACCAAGGACATAACGCTGCTCTGCTGGAGTATTTGATTATCGTGAAAACATCTCTGGATCTGCACACCTGGCTCTTTGGTGTGGCCAATGTGGAGGACCTCCCCTTAAGCTGGGCCTCTGAATGCCACCTGGGCGAGAAGCCCCCTCGCTCTCCGAGATAGCCGGGGTGCCAACGGCCTTACCCGTCCTCCTGTCGGGATGTTGCCGTTCAGCCTTTCAATCTCCTCCTTGCACAGGCGGAGGTCCTCCTGAAGCTGCTCCCACTCCTCCTGGCTGTGGCGGTATCTGTCTTCCAGTTCGCGCAGGTCTTGCTGTGCTCGGTCATGCTGCCAAACCAAGAGGAAGGATAACCGTCACGGAGGGTCCCGCCGCCGGCTCTCCGCGGTTGACCGTGACCGTGCGGGTACTTGCAACGGTCGTAGGTGTGAAAAACGGTCATAAGTCACTTTTTACAGCGCCGTTGTAACTTGGAACGGTCACTAAACGAACTGTTGTAAGTCGAGGACTACCTGTACTACATTACCGATAATTAGGATGTGCCTCTTAACATTTTGGTGTGGGTATGGGTTCATGGTGCCCTGCCCGAAATCACAGATTAGAGCCGCCTCTGGGATGTCACATTTCACCACAAACCACAGTAATGTTGATTAAAACAAGTCCACCTCTGCTTCCCGTTCAAGCTCTCAAACCACAAAGAACCAGGGTTTCATTGGGGCCCTCCTTGAAGACTAACATCAACTACTTGAGGTCCATCACCTAGGCTTCCCATTCAAGATCTCAAACCACAAAGCCAACAGCAAGAACCAGGGTTTGATTGGGGCCCTCCTTGAAGACTAACATCAAATATTTGATGTCCATCATCTGGGCTTCCCATTCAAGATCTCAAACCACAAAGCCAACAGCAAGAACCAGGGTTTGATTGGGGCCCTCCTTGAAGACTAACATCAACTACTTGAGGTCCATCACCTAGGCTTCCCATTCAAGATCTCAAACCACAAAGCCAACTGCAAGAACCAGGGTTTGATTGGGGCCCTCCTTGAAGACTAACATCAATTATTTGATTGTCTATTATCTGGACTTCCCATTCAAGCTCTCAAACCACAAAGCCAATTGCAAGAACCAGGGTTGGTTTGTGGCCCTCCTTGAAGACTAACATCAAGTACTTGACGTCCATCATCTGGGCTTCCCGTTCAAGATCTCAAACCCCAAAGAACCAGGGTTTGATTGGGGCCCTCCTTGAAGACTAACATCAAGTACTTGAGGTCCACCATCTGGGCTTCCCATTCAAGATCTCAAACCACAAAGCCAATTGCAAGAACCAGGGTTTGATTGGGGCTTTCCTTGAAGACTAACCTCAATTACTTGAAGAGACATTTGAGGTCCATCATACAGGCTAGAAACTAACTGGACAGTTCTCTTTCTCGGATCTTACGAGCGTTCTGCAGTTGGGCCACTAGGGTATCCCCAACTTCTGAGGTCCTCAGATGAGCCCAAGAAACCATCCCCAGATCTTGAAGTCCTCAGATAAGCTCGAGAAACCATCTAGAATGAGGCTGAGCTGATCCCTCTCCACCATTAAGCTTACCTGCCCTTCCCTCCCTGGACCTTCCTCAGCCTCTTGGTCATGGGAAGTCTCTCTCTTCCAGCTTGTCTCCCTCCAATACTTAGGGCCATCTTCTTTCCCTTCTCTCTGGGATTCTCTGCTCCTCGATCTTCTCTCATTGCTTGGACTTTGGTGGGAAGACTCGTCTTCTCTGTCCATTTCTGGCACATTAAACTGGGCCTTAAAGCCCTGGCAAGCAAGAAGAGGGTAGGAGAGGAAGCTCCATCACCATCTCTCCTGAGGTGGCTTTTCTGGCGTCCCATCATCCCCACCCATATCTTTGTCTCCCCTCTGCCCTCTATCCTCCAAGTTCTAGATCACCCAGGAGAACTTCCTGGTCTTCCCAAAGTTCTTGAATGTGCCATCTCTTCTCGTAGAATCATAGGGTTGAAAGGCACCTTGGATGTCTTCTAGTCAAACCCTCCTGCCCAATGCAGGAACCCTCCCACCATTCTAGACAAACAGTTGTCCAGTCCTTTCTTGAAGACCACCAGCGATGGAGCGCCCACAGCTCCACTTAACAGCTCTTCAAGTCAGGCAATTCCTCCTCAATTTGTTTGGGCCTCTCCTCCAAGTTGTAGACAACTCCCAGTTGTAGACAACCCAGAAGAATGTCCAGGTCCTCCCAAACCACAGCAACGTTTAGCTAAAAGAAGTCCATCCCCCTGCTTCCCATTCAAGATCTCAAGCTACAAAGCCAACAGCAAGAATCAGAGTTGGTTTGGGACCCTCCTTGAAGACATCTATCAATGATGTCACATCCATCATATGGGCTAGAAGACTTTCAACTTGACTGACCCACAAGGAGCTGAAGACCTTAGCAAGGATGGGGTCACTCCATGTGCACACTCAGCTCTTTGTCAATGCACAGGATGATTCTCTTTCTATGATCTGCAAGGTTGGCCACCATGATGTCCCCTGATCAAGATGCAGGACTGAGGTCCCCAGATGAGTCCAAGAAATCACCCAGGACGGGCCTGACCTGATCTTTCTCCACCATTAAGCTTACCTGCCCTTGCCTCCCTGGACTTTCGTTCAATTCTGGGTCAAGAAGAAACTCTTTATTCTTTCCTTTCTCCCTCCAATTCTTAAGGTCATCTTCTTTCCCTTCTCTCAGGGATTCTCTCCTCCTCGATCTTCTCTTATTGATCTGCTCTTGGTTGGAAGGATGGTCTTCTCTCTCCATTTCTGGCAGGTTCAACTGGGCTATAATGCCCTGGCAGGCAAGAAGAGGATGGGAGAGGAAGCATAGCATAGCTCCACCACCATCTCTCCTGAGGTGGCTTTTCTATCACCCCATCCTCCCCACCGGTATCTTTCTCTCCTCTCTGCCCTCCAAGGTCTAGACAATGATCCAGGAGAACGTCATGGTCCCCCTAAATTTCTTGAATGGCCCATCCCTTCTCATAGAATTATAAGGTGGAAAGGCAGCTTGGATGTCTTCTACTCAACCTTCCTGCCCATAGTAGGAAACATCCTACCATTCTGGACATCTTTCTGTCCAGTCCTTTCTTGAAGACCACCAGTGATGGCACATCTACAGCTTCACTTAACAGCTATCCAAGTCAGGAAATTCCTCCTCAATTCACATTTGGGTCTCCAAGTTCTAGACAACTGACCCAGGATAACTTTCTGATCCTCCTAAAGTTCTTGAATGTCCCAACCCTTCTGATATGACCATAGGATAGCGAGGACCTTGGATGTCTTTTAGCAACAATGGGTCACTCTCCACACGGACACTCATTTCTTTTTGTAATTCACTGGATGGTTCTCCTTCTCTGATCTCATAACTGCCCTGCAACGTTGGCCACTATGATGTCCCCTGATCAGGAGACAGGACTGAAACCCTCAGATGAGCCCAAGAAACATCTAGGATGGGGTTGAGCTGATCCTTCTCCACCATGAAGCTTAGCTGGCCTTCCCTCCCTCTTGCCCTCTTTTCCTACCTTACGGGCATCAGACTCTCTCCTCCTTCTCGGTCTTCTCCTAACATCTAGCTCTTGGGAGCCATGCTGATCCTCATTCTCCATTTCAGCCAGAATGCACTGGGACATGTTGCCCTAGCAGGGCAAGAACAGGATGGGGAAGGAAGCATCAAGTGGCTCCATCACCAGCTCTTCTGAGGTGGCTTTTCAGTCGCCCCACTCTCTCCACCCATATCTTTGTCCCCTCTCTCTTCTCTTCAGCTGGATACTCCCTCTTTGCCCTCTTCCCTCCACGTTCTAGACAACTGACCAGGAGAACGTTCTGGTTCTCCTAAAGATCTTGAATGTCCCATCCCTTCTCAATCCCTCACATTTGATCTTCAGCCTTCCTCTCAGGGGTCTCCAGCCTTGACAACTGATCAATTGCAAGGGTTTTCCACCCACTCCTTGGTAGGACCGGGTCACCCGTGGACCACCCATCTCAGAAGAACTGATAGGGTGGACAATCTCCAGGCTCCTTCTCGGAAGCCATATCACCTGGTGGGCTCCAGGAGACGTGCCTTCCTGGTCACCCCGCCTGTCCTTTGGACCATACCACCACTTGAGGTTCAGATGGCCTCCCTCACTTGACCTTCCGTAAGGCCTTGGACCAGGGCGCTGGACGAGCCTGCTTCTTCTACAAGTAGTCCTCGGCTTACGACCACAATGGGGCTTAGCAAGGTTCCCGTCGCTAAGCGAGACATTACTTAAGTGAGCTTTGTCCCATTTCACGACCTTTCTTGCGCTTGTTTGAGTTAGCGACACGGCCGTTAAGCGAATCCCGCTTCCCCGTTGACTCGGCTCGGCTGCCCAAGGGGGTCATGTGACCCCTGGGGGACACTGCGGCCGTCGTAAATGTGAGTCGGTTGCCAAGCGCCCGATTTTGGATCCCGTGACCACGGGGGACGCTGCAACGGCCGTGTGAAAAAAGGGTCACAGGTCACTTTTTTCCAGTGCTGTTGCAACTGAAAACGGTCACTAAGCGAGCTGTTGTAAGTCAAGGACTAGTTGTAATTGTCGGACCGCTAATCGATTGTTTGATGTGTTCTGGTGGGGCACTTTTTAAAAAAATTTTTTTTTTTTTTGTCTTGCTCGTTCTCCTTGTGGCGTCAAAGCTACGTGAGCGACTGACTTTGCGTGGTTGTATAAATCGAATGAATAAATAAATGCACCGTTAAATAAATAAATAAATGCAGTGTAAAATAAAATAAATACACTATAAGATCAGTTAAATAAATAGGTACACTATTAGATACACGGATAGACTATAAAATAACTAAATTATCAATTCCATAAATACGCTATGAAATCGATTAAATAAACAAATACACTGTTAAATAGATGATAGATAGACTAAAATCAAATAAATAAACACATTACAAAATCAATTAAGTATACTGTAAAATCAAAATAAATAAATACGGTATAAAATAACTAAATAAATGAATACACTATAAAATAAATAATATACTATAAAATCAATTAAATGAATAAATAGGCTAATAGATAGATAGACAGACACAGATAGACTATAAAATCAATTAAATAAATACACCACAAAATCAAATAAATAAATAAATACACTACAAAATCAATTAAATAGATACAGTATAAAATAACTAAATAAATGAATACACTATAAAATAAATAATATACTATAAATCAATTTTAAAAATACGCTATTAAATAGATAGATAGATAGATAGATAGATAAATGGATAGACTATAAAATCAATTAAATAAATGCACTATAAAATAGACAGATTATAACATCAATTAAATAAATAAATACAAAATCAATTAAATAAATACCCTGTAAAATCAATTAAATAAACACACTATAAAATAACTAAAGAATACACTATAAAATGACTAAATAAATATACCATAAAATAATACACTATAAAATCAATTTAAAAAATAAATACGCTATTAGATAGATGGATAGATAGATAGATAGATAGATAGATAGATAGATAGATAGATAGATAGATAGATAGATAGATATAGACCGATGAGACAGTAAATAAGATAGATAGATAGATAGATAGATAGATAGATAGATAGATAGATAGATAGATAGATATAGACCGATGATAGACAGTAAATTAGATAGATAGATAGATAGATAGATAGATAGATAGATAGATAGATAGATAGATAGATAGATAGATAGATAGATAGATGGATGGATGGATGGATGGATGGATGGATGGATGGATGGATGGATGGATGGATGGATGGATGGATGGATGGATGGATGGATGGACAGAGAGATACAGTATAAAATCAATCCAATCAATGAATGCACTATAACCTAAATAGTCACCTGGGTCTGGACCTTCTCCACCGTCTCCTCCTCTGTGGCCAGCTGATGCAGGAGGTCCACCTCATTCTCCTCTTCCACCTTCTCCATCCTCTCCTCCTCGTTGTAGTCGCTTGCCACGCCGACAATTTCGACCGACCAGAAGGAGACACAGCTGCCCTTCTGGTTGGAGGGCTGCTTCATGAGGGAGTAGCGGCGATCCGTGGGCCACTGAGCAATGGACTCCAGAGATGGGGTGTCCTCCACCTTGCTTCGGTACTTGCTGTGGGAGATTGGCTTTAGTGACGGCTCCCCAACCTTGGCCACTTTAAGACTTGTGGACTTCAACTCTCAGAATTCCACAGCCAGCGTGGTTTAATTCTGGGATCTCCAACCTTGGCCACTTTAAGACTTGTGGACTTCAGCTCCCAGAGTTCCTCAGAAAGTCACTTGCCTTTCACCTTTGGCATTTCTGGATCAGAAGGAGCGTTGTCCCTCTTGATGCAGCGTGAGAGTCCTACAGCTTCATCCACGCCTCTCCTCCTATCCTCCAGCCCATTAGAAAGACTACACTGGCATAACCGGCACTGAGTCTTCCACCAGTGGTAGACCCGGTGTTAGGAAATAGCCCAGGAGACCAGGAGGGAACATCTCCACCTTGGTTACCTGTTACTCAAGCAACATGGAGGGTGAAGACACTGTCTTACCCGCCGAATCACACTACCTGGAGACCCACTCACCATGCTTTTCCCCAGGGGTCTCCAAACCTGGCCACTTTAAGACTTGTGGACTTCAACTCCCAGAATTCCACAGCCAGCATGGTTTAATTCTGGGGTCTGCAAACAAGGCCACTAAGATTTGTGGACTTCAACTCCCAGAATTCCACAGCCAGCATGGTTTAATTCTGGGGTCTGCAAACAAGGCCACTAAGATTTGTGGACTTCAACTCCCAGAATTCCCATTCTGGGAGTTGAAGTCCACAAGTCTTAAAAGTGGCCAAGTTGGAGACTCCTGCTCTAGAATATGAAGAAGAGACAGAGATGATCAGGCAGCTTCAACCAGGACTCCATCTTGAAGCACTGCAAGCCCATCACCCTGGGCCTGAACAGGACCAGAGGCCTCAGAACTCAGAATCCAGACACTGGAAGGGGCTTCAGAGGTCACCTAGACTCCTCCTCTGATTTTTCTCAGACTTCCAACAGGGAAGGAGAGGATTGGACACTCCCTTTATGATGTCCTCTTGAACCTCAAGACGGTTACCATCAGCACTTTTCCATGTAATTTGCTTCTTAAAAATGCCGATTAAATGGGAAGAGAGGTAAGGTGCACTTTGACCTCTGGAATGGGACTGGAGTTGACTTCACTTTGGGACAACCCATCTGATTCCCAAGGAACCTGGAGGTGGGTCATCCCTTCGGGAGACCACCAGGTTGAAGTAAACCACATGGGGAGCTAGAGAGATCCATCCACACCCCATTCTCCACCACCCAGGACATTCCCATCCATCTCCAGGTGGAGCAGCTGCCCCAGGAGCAGAAATACCAAAACATACTTGTATTTCATGGTTTCAAGCTTCTCCAGTTGGTGGACCATGAGCTTGTTGCTAGCCTGCAAGATCTGGAACTCTTCTTTCAGATCCGCGTATTGGATTCGCACCGTTTCCAGCTCATCTGCAAACCACAGGAGTAGGGATGAAAGGAAGTCACAGTCCTCCAAAGTAACACCAATAACAGAGTTGGAAGGGGCCTTGAAGGTCTTCTAGTCCAACCCCCTGCCCCCCCCACCCCCGGCTGGTCCTTTCCAGCCCTGGGATTCCATAAACTCTCTCTCCTGCAAGGCCAAATGAGCCCAGATTCTAAGCATCCCCACATTCAACCAGGAGTTCTGTACAGCAAAACCTATCTACAATTTCTTAGAAACAGGGTCAGTTCCAGGTTAAGAGATTGAATGTTTATGTCAGTTTGGTGAAGGTTCCAGGCTAGAAACCAGGAGACGGTGAGTTCTAGTCCCGCCTTAACCACGAAAGCCGGGTGACTTTGGGCCAATCACCAGGAGACTGTGAATTCGAGTGCCACCTTAGCCATGAAAGCCAGCTCCCAGAATTCCTCAGTCAGGGACCTCCAAACTTAGTAACTTTAAGACTTCTGGACTCAAACTCCCAGAATTCCTCAGCCAGGGGCCTCCAAACTTGGTAACTTTAAGACTTCTGGACTCAAACTCCCAGAATTCCTCAGCCAGGGACCTCCAAACATGGCAACTTTAAGACTTCTGGACTCAAACTCCCAGAATTCCTCAGCCAGGGGCCTCCAAACTTGGTAACTTTAAGACTTGTGGACTTCAACTCCCAGAATTCCTCAGTCGGGGGGGAGGGGTGTCTCCAACCTTGGCCACTTTAAGACTTGTGGACTTCAACTCCCAGAATTCCCCAGCCAGCATAATTGGCTGAGGAATTCTGGGAGTTGGTCCATCAGCCTTAAAGTCCACAAGTCTTAAAGTCCACAAATTTGGAGAGCCCGGTTCTAGTGCAACCCCCTGGCCAAGTTGTGGTTGTTACCATGATGTATGTTGCCCTCTTTTCACCCCTGGAGGAATTTAAGTGCCTCCTTACGATTTAGATTCCAAGCCTCCCAAACTCACTCGGCTGACTTGGCGGAGGTTACAGAAACTGAATGAATGAATAAATTAATTAAAATAAACAAACAAATAAACAAACAAACAAGAGAGAGAGCCCCGGGGTAGTTATCCCGATACAAAAGAGGTACCTTTGAGCCGAGCTACTTCCTGAGACGGGCTGGGTGGCCGTTGCTCCGGCAGGGTGTCTTCCCCCACCACGGCGCTGCTTTCGGGAGCCGATTCCTGCCTCATCCGGATTTCAGCACGCAGGGCGGTGACCTCCATTTCGTATTCCTTGTGGGTCTGTTGGACCCGTTCCAGCTCGGCTTTCAGCCGGCAAAGCTCCTCTTGTAAGCTGGCGATTTCGTTCTCGTGCACGGCGGCCACCTCCTCGGCCTCCAGGCGCAGGCTGTGGATCTCCTGGTTGGCATCCTGAAGCTCCTGCGCCACCTGCTCCAGCTCCGTGTCTTTCGTGGCTTGTAGGGAATCAAACTCGTCCTTCCGCAAACGCATCTGGGCTGGAGGGGAGGAGGAAGAAGAAACGGGATGGAGGGTGAGAAAACTGGACTTGGGGCACGAGAAGAAGCTGGAAGTTGACTCACAATGCCGGCTCGGTAAGACCTGGTTTGAAGTGGAGACGTCAACAGGAGACAGAGACTTTGAGGTCCACAAAGGGAACGTGGTTAGGAAAGGCGCGTGGTCTGATTCCGTGTTACTCAACCGTGGCAACTTTTAAGATGGGTGGACTTCAACTCCCAGAATTCACCCCTCTGTCTGGACATTAACCGGTCAGTTTCTTGAAGAAGTTCAACATGATGTCAAACTAGGTTACTGTAGGACAGGGGTCTTCAAACTTGGCTCTTTTATGACTTGTGGACTTCAACTCCCAGAATTCCTGAGCCAGCCATGCTGAGGGGAAAGGGAGAGGTTTCCAAGCTGAGCCATGCTGGCTCAGGAATTCTGGGAGTTGAAGTCCATGAGTCATAAAAGAGCCAAGGTTGCCTACCCCTGCTGTAGGGAGTCAACACACACACACACACACCAGAGAACGAAATATTTTGGGGAGCTGAAGAAGCTTCTTGGATAAGAAGCGAAACGTCTTCAAAAAAAACAAGAAAGTCCAGTTGCCTCCTGAAAAAAGCATCTTTCTGATATTTTGGGAAATATTAAAAAAGGGCAGAATATTATATTTCCCCAAAAGGAGAAATGGGGAACGCCCCAAAACAGAAACTGAGGCCACTTTTTAGAAATGCAGATTTGCTAATCCATGCAGGGAAACTGGGGTCAGAAAGCTTGGAGACGATGGCATTAGAAAAACAAAGACTCCAAATATTTACATTCCCCTACCCACCTCCAAGGACAGGATATGACCCCCCCCCCAGCCACAATGGGAGTCAGGCAACAATAATTAAAAATACCAAAAGGGCATGCTCAAGCTGAGGTCAAAGGGCATGGCACAGGAACAGGAACAACCTCAAAAGCCCAAAGAAGGAACAAAAACCTACCCACTCTCAACACCATTTTGTCAGCTGCCCCAGAACCCCATGCTGGTTCTGCTCATCAATAAAGAGACCTTCTTTCAAAAGCAGCCTCCATTTTATTCCCAGCTTGGAACTGGACCCAGTTTCTCTTCCCACATTACAATGAAATAAATTCACATTTCTGTCCGACAAAGTCAAGCCAGATTCACTTAACAACCGTGTTATTCATTGAACAACTACAGTGATTCCCTTAACAACGGGGACAAGAATGAGGCAGAACTCTCAGAACAAGTGTCCCGCTTAACAACAGAAAGTTTGGGCTCCTTTGTAGTCACGAGTCAAGGACCCTCTGCATTTATTTGCTCCTCTCTCAGATTCGAGACTCAAATTCTAAAGACCAAGAAATTCTTGCCAGAGGTTATGGGGCATAAATTCACTGTCTCTCTCCCCCCCCCCAACCGACACAGCTATTCCTCATTTTAATTCCCTTAGAAGGGTCTCACAGCCGAAGTTGTAAATGGTTCGTGACATTCACGCAAGAAAAAACAGGCCCAACCCCACAACAGGAAAAATTAAATTTGAACGGAATTGAATTAAAAAAACCCCCGTTTAAATAAATAATAAAAAAAACCTTCAACGAAAGGGGATTAAAATCACACTGGATTCATTCAGACCCAGGTGGGCTGGAAGGACAAAGAGATCAGGATGGCGTCCACCCCGCCTTTGCTAAACCAGGTTTTTTTTAAAAAATCATGGTTTGAGTAGAAACAAACCCAAACTACCAAGCAGAGGAGCAAGGATTTTGAGCAATCAGTTGGCAACAGAAAGTGGCTGATCCTGGAGGCAGGAGGGTCTCTGTTAGTGGGAGTGGGTGTGAAGACCCCCCCCAGGTGCCAGATGGGTGGAAACCCCCCCTCCCCGGCCTGGCCCTGGGTGCAACTTAGAAGCCTACGGGCATCCCAGAGACCTGAAGGGGATGGAACCAGGTGGGGAGGGGGGTCCCTGGCAGTTGGGCCATCCTGGAGGCAACTGGTTGCTGTGGCAACACACACCCCCTCCCCTCTTGGGAGGGGAACTCACCGTTCCCGGAGGCGGAGGGCTTTGGCTCCATGGGGACGGGTGGTCCAGGGCCACTGGGGGACCCCCTGGCCCAGCCCTTGCGCCTGGCCTGGGGGGGGCTCGGCCCCTTAAAGCCACAGCATCTCGGAATCTCAAGCTGAGTGGCTCTGGAGCCCCCTCCCCTCTGAAGGAGGGCAGACGGCAGACGCCTTCTTCCCCAGTGGGGGTGCCCTCCAGAGGCATCGGACTGCAATGCCCATAATCCTCGGCCAGTCCCCAGAATAACGGGGTGCCAATGAATAGCAGATGACCCCCCTTTTGGGGGGAACTGCACTGGGCTGGGCTGGGGGCAAAACCACCGGATGGATGTAGAAAATAGGGGTACCAGGCTGGCATCGGGGTGCCACTATATTTAATATTCTATTTTATTCTATTGTATTCTGTATTTTATTATTCTATTCTATTCTATTCTATTTTGTATTTTATTATTCTATTCTATTATATTATATTCTGTATCTTATTATTCTATTCTATTCTATTCTATTCTATTCTATTCTATTCTATTCTATTCTATTCCCTATTCTATTCTATTCTATTCTATTCTATTCTATTCTATTCTGTATTTCTATTCTATTCTGTATTTTATTATTCTATCCTATCCTATCCTATCCTATCCAATTCTATTCTATTCTATTCTATTCTATTCTATTCTATTCTATTCTATTCTATTCTATTCTATTGTATATTTCTATTCTATTCTGTTTTATTATTCTATTCTATTCTACTCTATTCTCAACCGTCCAGTTGGTGGACCTTCTCCAGAAGAAGAGCCTTTGGGTCCTCTGAGGTCAACGCATGATCTCACAGCCCATCTCCGCCCAGCTCGGCCGTCCACCCAGCAAAGGAACAGGCTCTGAATGAGCAGCCCAAATATTTCCTCGATATTCTTAGTTTTCCTGGCCACCCACGTCCAGTATCAGTGACAGGGGACGGACATTTGTAGGTCAACCGAGAAGACCACACCATCCCTGGCCGGAGCGTCTCAAAAGTCAGCCGCTCGGCCATAACCGTGACTCATGCGTGTCTCAAATAACACACCCAGCGGCACACACACACACACACACACACACGAAGCAGCACATTGGCAGGTAGCCCTGGACTTACAAAAGTTCGTTTAGCGACTGCTCACAGTTAGAACGGCACTGAAAAAAAGAGACCTACGATCATTTCTCACACTTACGACCGTCGCAGCATCCCCGCGGGCGCGGGATCAAAATGGGCAATGGACTCACATTTACGACGGTCGCAGTGTCCCGGGCTCACGTCATCGCCTTTTGCGACCTTTTGACACAAGCAAAGTCCTGAAGCCTGGTTCGCTTAACGACCGTGTGACTCATTCAACCGCTGCAGCGATTCCCTTAATAACCGCGGCCAGAAAAGTCGTAACGTGGGGCAAAGGGCGCTTCAGCGATTCCTCCCTTAGCAACGTAAATTGGGGGCCGTTAAGTGGAGGCCGGCCTGTACTCTAATGGAACAATTTAATTCACAACCCACGTCATGATTTTTAATCCTTCCTTCGTAATTTTGTCCGGCGCCAGTGCTGTCCTGTTTTTGGAACGCTTCCCGGCTCTGATGTTGTGTGTTTTTTTTTTTATCCTTTTGCAACGCATTTCAAAGGCCGTCTGGGTGAGTTTTTGTATGTTCCTGCTGCTGCGTCCTGTGACGACGACATAAACGAGGGGTGGCGAACCTGTGGCACGCGTGCCAGAGGGGGCACTCAGAGCCCTCTCTGTGGGCACGCGCACCTCGCACTTTGGCTATGTTTTCACAGGAAAAAGCCATTTTTCAAGCCCCTTCTTCGCTCCGGAGGCTTGTTTTGGCTAGGAAGGGGCTTGAGAAATGCGTTGCTCTCAAGCTTACGAAGTATGAGCCAAGATTAGACAAATTATCAGCATGCATACAACAGCAAAAATCACATTAATGGTTCAAAAGCATGCCAAATGCAAACTGTTTACCTTTCAATCAAAAGTTGTGTTTATCATTGAAAGCTTTGCTATTGTGTTTTTCTTTTAAGACCAAGGATGTTAATGTAGGAGTTGTTTTTTTTCTAAACTTAAAACCTCAGTATTCAGGTTAAATTGCCGCGTTGGCACTTTGCGGTAAATAAGTGGGTTTGGGGTTTCAGTTTGGCCACTCGGTCTCTAAAAGGTTCGCCATCACTGACATAAACAAACAAAAATAAAGCCGGCACATCGGGACTGACCGTACAAAGTCTGGATCTGTTTGGTGAAGGTCTCCGCCTGCTGCGCGCTGGCCAGACGCTCGTCTTCCAGGAAACCTATCAGAGGGGAAAAAAGACGGATCAGGGACTGGAAGCCACGCCCACTGGGCCCTTCAGGGAGCCCACGGAGGTCAAAAAAGTCAAGATGGCCTCCGCCCTTGGCCGCCTGACATCCTACCCCTTTGTAAGTAGCTCTCGACTTACGACAGTCTATTTAGTGACCGTTCAAAGGGGCAACAGCACTGAAAAAAGGGACTTAGGGCTGTTTTTCATGCTTAATGACCGCAGCAGCATCCCCCGTAGGCACGGGATCAAAATTCAGACGCTTGGCAACAGGCTTGTCTTTACGACGGACGGCTGCAGTGATGGGCAAAGTCAAGGGAGAAAGCCAGATTGGTCACTAACTGAGCAGCTGCAGCGATTCTCACTTTGCAACGGTGGGGAGAAAGGTCGTAAAACGGGGCAAATCTCCCTTCACAAACGTCTCGCCGAGCAACGGGAATTTTGGGGGTCAATCGCGGTCGTAAGTCGAAACGTAAAAAAACTGACTGCAGAAAAAGATCTAGTAGTAATCAAAATTCGGACGCTGGGCAACCGGCTCATACTTAGCAACAGAAATTTGGGGCTCGTTGTGGGTCGTAAGCCGAGGACTACCTAGACATGTCCCCCAATTTTCTCTTTAGCAATCAAGCGATCCGGGTGTAAATCACGTGACCCCGGGGAGCCTGCAAAGGTCACTAACTGTGAAAAACGGTCCTAGGTCGCTTTTTTCAGTCCTGTTGTTAACTTCAAACGGTCACTAAGCAAATCATTATAAGTGGAGGACTACCTGTAAAATGTCTTTCAAAATATCCATCAATCAAGAGCTAAGATTTGTGTTTGTGCTTCAGAGGGACTGCAAGGTCTTTTCCAGCTATATTCTGATTGATTGATTGATTCTGATTGATTGATTGATAATTGATGGATGGACGGATTGATCGCTGCCTACAAAGTAAGGCTTTGTGATACGATTGCCGCACAGCCACACAAAAAAGTTCGAGAGAAGAGACAGGGAGACCCAGAGACACAAAGGGAGGGAAGGACGCAACAGGTTAGCCAAGCCAATGTTGGCTAGTTTATCCGTCCAGGCAGAACATTCACAGGACCTGCACCCTCTGCTATACGAATCAATTAGCCTTCGCTGTTGCGCTTGCACAATACTTGGCGAGAGTCAGCTGGACGACAGGGCTGGGTTTGAACAACACACTAAGCGACACACAACACAGCCTCCCAAATTGAAAGCAGACCAAGCTGAGCAGCTGGGAGGAGGGCTTCTTAACCTCACCTGGTGAAGCATGTTGTGCGAACTCAGCCAGGGAGAGCCTGGAGGAGAGAATAAGGAGAAGGTGGGACTTCAGCAGGAGGCTTCTGGGAGGGTCGTGATCCAGGGAGACGGGGGGGGAAACCTTTGCCCCCACACACCCAAGTGGGGAGAAGCAGGGGGAGCATGAGTACAGTTGTGTCCCAGAAGGAGGGGAGGGGAGGGGAGGAGGAGGAGGAGGAGAAGAAGAGGAGGAGGAGGAGGAG